GCCAGCATCTGTTGACAGCAATAAGCAACATAGACACAACTCTCTGCCCTTAAGGAGATTACATTCTAGTAGTGATGTTAACTAGTAGCTCACACACACACACACACACACACACACACACACACACACACACTCACACTCATCCATAAGCAATAATTTTGTATGGTTTCCAATTGTTTATCCTTGTGTAGCAATTTTTGTGTTTGTTTCATGGTATTTTTGTTTTTTGTTTTTCTTTTTAAAGCATTAAAAAAATATTTGTATTGGGGATTATTGGGGAACAGTGTATTTCTCCAGGACCCATCAGCTCCAAGTCAAGTAGTTGTTTCACTCTAGTTGTGGAGGGCGCACCTCAGTGGCCCACGTGGGAATTGAACCAGCAGCTTTGGTGTTATGAGCACTGTGTTCTGCGCTGTTAACCACTTGAGCTAACCGTCCATACCATGGTGTTTTTGTTTTTAAGATTGATCCATGCTGACATATGTAGCCCGGAATTACTTAAGATTGCTTTTTAGAATTGTATCAAATGAATGTTCCACAATTTAACCATTCCCCGGTTGATGCACATTTTGGTTGTTTCCAGCTTGATTGACTGTTTGCTTTTATAGACAATATCGAGTGTTCTGCAAGTGCAAAAGGAAAGCTTCTCTAGAGAAATGTTTTTCAAATTGTGGGCTGCATGTTTTAAAAGCAGAAAGAGAATAGAATAGAAGGTATTAGAATAGGATAGAAAAGAAGATATTAGTGTAAGGCAGATAATAAGAGTAGTGTTTTGTAGAACTTTATTCTGGGATGACTGTGTACTGGATTGAGATGTAATATGTATTTCTTACTTTGGGTCATGGATAAAATGGTTGCAAACTCGCTTGGTTTCATATACAACCTTAACTTATCACTGAATTGCTCTTCAGGGTGGGGGTACCAGTTCATAGTACCATTGGTGGTATACTGTTGTATCTGTTTTTCTCCATTCTTCTCCAAAGTTTGTTTCACTGAACTTTTAAATTTTGGTCCATCAGTGAGTATGAATCAGTATCTCATTGTGGTTTTACTTTGCCTTTTCCTGATAACTAGTGAGATTGACTTTAATCCTTTTTTTAAAATACAGAAAAATTAATTTATCTGCTAGATATTAGATCAATGTTGAAAATGGTAATGAGCGTAATCCTCAATGGCATATTAAATAACATTTCCATGAATGGTTGAAATGAGTTGACTTGCTTAATTAAACACTAACGACTGACAGTTGAGAGGCTTAAGTGGTTTAATTTTGAGTTTTCTCTTTATACACTATAATCTATGCTCATTTCTGTAAACTTGAATCTTTGAATTTGGCATAATCTTATGTTTGTATTCATACAAGACCATCAGTAGCCATTAGTAACAGCATCATTTTATTGACTTGAATGTTAATTTTTTATGTTTGATAGATACCTGACCAATATTTTTATTTTAAAATATTATAATAAAATATATGCATGTAATATTAAAAAATATAAAAAGGTGAAAATTAGTCTTTTCCTATTCCCTAGTTCTCCTTCCCAGAAGCAACTATTAATACTTTAAAAAGATTTATATGAGCTTTTAGACATACATATCATTGCCCCTTTTTCTTTTTTATTTTAAAGATTTTATTGGGGAGTTGGGGGAGGGGAACAGTGTTGGGGAATTGGGGAAGGGGAACAGCCAAGTTGTTGTCCTTCAATCTTCGTTGTGGAGGGCACCAGTTGCCATCTGGCTTCCTGCCGGCAGCTTGTGGCCTCTAAGCCCAAGGTGCTGTGTTCACTCTTACTTGTGGGTGGGTGGAGTAGCCACCATCCCATGCGGGAGTTGAACCAGCAGCCTTGTTGTTAAGAGCGCACGCTCTATCCACTGAGCCACCCAGGCGGCAGCTGAGCTCAAGGTGCCAAGTTCAGTCTTAGTTGAAGGTGGGCGTAGCCCACCATGGAACAGGCAATCTTGTTGTTACACCAGCTGAGCCATCCTGCCACCTATTGGCAGCTCAGCGACAGCTCAGCTCACACTCAGCGTCACTGATCCATGTGGGAATCGAACTGGCAACCTTGTTGCTCAGAGCTCACGCTCTTAAGCCAACTCTTAACCAACTGAGCCACTCAGCCGGCCCTGCCCTTTTTCTTTTGTTTCTAATTTTTTTCTCAAATGGTATTCTGATCATTGTTTTGTAGCTGTCTTTTTATCTTAAAGATTTTTAATTTAGCACATATGAATTTTACTTTGTTCTTTTCAACTGCTAGATTGGATTCCATTGTGTAGATGTATCATAGTTCATAATTCATGTAAGTATTGATGGGTATTTAGGTTCAAAAGAAAAATACAACACACAAAACTTCAGCTTTTATAAACTATCACATTAATTATTTTTGTACTTAAATTCATGTGTGTGTATATCTGTAGGATAAATTTCAGGAGGTAGAATTGTATCAAAGGGATATTCTACTCTATCTAACAGTGTCATATACTGTTTTAATCAGTACTCTTATTTGCAAGTGACAGAAAACTGACATGTTCACTTAAGCAAAAAGGGAAATGGTTTTTGTTTATGTGACTGGAAAATTCAAAGGACAAATTCCAACAGGACTCAAGAGTTATTAATACTTACCTCTCACTTCTGCTTCTTTCTGTCATCCTCATTCCCCTCTTCATAAGGGTGGGTTAGTCTCAGATAGCTTCTGGCCACCTTCATGGAAAGACAGCTTCAGAGCACTTGTCACTCAGCGCCTAGTAGAAAGTCCCAGGCAGACTCGCTGGTCTGCCCTGGGTCCCGCTGCACTCCAGCGATCAAGAGATGGAGTACTCACGTGGTGTGAAGGAAGGGAAATTCTCTAAAGGGTTCGTGATGCTCGGCCAATGCTTTCAATAGGAGAAATACGCCACATTTTCTTTGGCATAAGAGTTGGGTGTTCAGCTGGGGAAATGGAGTAGATACCATGAAGACATAACTTACACAGTAATGTATGGTTCAAAGAAGGCTGCAAGAATTCAGAAGAATGGGGGAGGGAGGGTGGAATTAGAATAATCTTTTGAAGGAAGTGGTATAGAGTTAAATCCCAGGGTGTTGGTGTTATATTCCATACCAGTTGATTTCTTTCTCCATAAAGGTTACTTTTATCTGTTGTTTTTTGTTGTTGTTCTCACAACCATACTCTGAATCTAAGTCTTTATCTTCTGGGTAGTTGTACAAGATGCCCTGCCTCCCGTCTGTTCCCCCTGTCCTAGTCATTCTGGAACATTCTACTTATGTCCCTGCCCTGCTAAGAAAACCTGTGCCAACCCTCATTACTTCCCGAATAAAATACTGTACAAACTCCTAAACCTAACATTCTAGGACCTCTGTGTTCTGATCCTGGAGCCGCTTTTCTCCAGCCTTTCCTTCTATAATCCTTTATTTGGATTCTCTTTGACAGTGTTTTGCATAAACAGCTGAGAGGAACACGAGAACTGTTTCTATAAGCATTTTTGTCTCATTGTTTCTTCTACTCTCTTATTGGAGGGTATTCTTCTAGTTTAGTCTTCTATTTTACTCCTTTTCTGATTTTGTTCATTTATGTCCCATGATTTCCAGAAGACAGGGGAATGGACTGGATTACCCATCATGATGCTTACTAGTATGGTAATTTGGTGATTTAGTTGAATGTTTGAAAACTGCACCTGTGTAGATGGTGTCACTTTTGCGAAGTTTGCTAAGGTGGAGGAGGCTTTTTTCTCACTGTATAGGCTCACCAGCAATGTCTGGCCCAGAGTGATCCCTTGGACTTGTTTCTACAGAAATTGATGGGTACATGCTTATTTGGGAAATCTCCTTTCCAGTGAATGACTAGTTGGGGTGCCTTGTATAAATGAAAAGATCTCGTCTTTTTATATATTCTTTAGCATGCTTTCTTCTCCTGGTACTGTGTACCATTTTAGTTTGCCCATGAGCATAATGAGAGTAAATTAGGGGGCAGGGAGAGGGCACAGCAGTGGGGTTGGGAGGAGACAGTTAAGATGGTACCAGCAACCCAAAATTATGGTTAATAAAACTTAATGTACAAAAATGAATTTAATGTTAATTGATCTCATTAAAATTATTTCTGATACTTAAAAATACATTTCCTATACTGAAAACATTAGGAGAAACTTGTTTCTTTCAATATGTTTTCTTATTTATGCTGTAGGGCTTATAAACTGTCTCATAGACTTGTTCAGAGGATTAAATGAGATATATGTGATTGTTATAAACTAAGCTCTCAAATGCTACACACACACATACATACATACATACATACATACATACATACATACATACATATATTCCTGGACATCACATCTCATAAATTAGGGAACAGGTCTCCAAAGTTGCTTAACTGACTGCTAAAAAAATGTAGACTGTTGTCTGCTTCCTAGGTGAGGCTTCCAACCCCCTTATTTTCTCCCAGTATTAGAACTCTACTGCTCTCTTCCTTCCTCCTCCTTACGTCTTCCTTTCTATCTCACCCCTAACCTTCATGGTGGAACTCCCCGTTTGGCTCTTAGGAAGCCCTTCTGGCAGAGGAAAAGGGGTGCTACACCAGAGAGTTTCCTGTTGGGTTGTTGAGAGGCATTTCTGTATTGTAGCTAACACGGTGTGAGACCTGTTATCTTACATGGAGATGTTTTTTCTCATCTATGTTCTTGTCAGATCTTTCACAGATATGCTTTAAAAAAAAAAATCGTGGTGACGTGTAAACCAGTTAACCTCTCTAGGTAATTGAGAGCTGATTATAACTAATTTTTTTTTCCTTCTAGTTTGGAATATAATGGGAAAACTTGGAATCTAGATTTTTCTATAGACCTAAAAAATGAAACTAAATCATTGCTTCTTGATATTATTTTAACTTGACAGTTATTACAAATATGCATTTTTATCTTTCGAGGCATGTATCCAAATAGGAAAAACTGGAAAACCCTTCATTTGTAGAATAATACATTGATTTGTAATTATACCATTTGTTTATTTACAGGTAGGCGAAAACCCAGAGTACATCGGCCTCGTTCTCCAATTTTGGAAGAAAAGGACATCCCGCCCCTTGAGTTTCCCAAGTCCTCTGAGGATTTAATGGTGCCTAATGAGCATATAATGAATGTTATTGCCATTTATGAGGTACTGCGGAACTTTGGCACTGTTTTAAGGTTATCTCCTTTTCGCTTTGAGGACTTTTGTGCAGCCTTGGTGAGTCAAGAGCAGTGTACACTTATGGCGGAGATGCACGTTGTGCTTTTGAAAGCAGTGTTGCGTGAAGAAGATACTTCCAATACTACCTTTGGACCCGCTGATCTGAAAGACAGTGTTAACTCCACGCTGTATTTCATTGATGGGATGACGTGGCCCGAGGTGCTGCGGGTGTACTGTGAGAGCGATAAGGAGTACCATCATGTTCTTCCTTACCAAGAGGCAGATGACTATCCTTATGGACCAGTGGAGAACAAAATCAAAGTTCTGCAGTTCTTAGTCGATCAGTTTCTTACCACAAATATTGCTCGTGAGGAACTGATGTCTGAAGGGGTAATCCAGTATGATGACCATTGTAGGGTTTGTCACAAACTTGGGGATTTGCTTTGCTGTGAGACGTGTTCAGCCGTATACCATTTGGAATGTGTGAAGCCACCTCTCGAGGAGGTGCCGGAGGATGAGTGGCAGTGTGAGGTCTGTGTGGCACATAAGGTGCCTGGTGTGACTGACTGCGTTGCTGAAATCCAAAAAAACAAACCATATATTCGACATGAACCTATTGGATATGACAGAAGTCGGAGGAAATACTGGTTCTTAAACCGAAGACTCATAATGTAAGTAAATCTGGTATTAATTTTTGTACGTATTTAAAATTAAGCTGGTTTACTTCATGATTGATGTAGCAGAGCTATGCTGCTGATGTGAGCTGAACCTTTGTGATTTAATGAGTTGTATAGTTAAATAATTTCTAACTTGAAAGAGTATGTACATTAAAAGTTTTTAAAATTTTATTTATTTTTAGATTTTTTTTAATTTTTATTGGGGAATTGGAGGGATGGGAACAGTGCTGGGGAATTGGGGGAAGGAAACAGACAAGTTGCTGTCGTTTTGTTCTTCAGTCTAGTTGTGGAGGACGTTGCTTCACTGGCCCAAGTTGGCACCATCATTGCGCTCTTCCCAGGCGAGGCAGATCAGTCGCCGGCTTCTGGACACTGCGGCTGCTGGCCGCTCAGGCTGGCTGCTGGCTACATATGGTAGCCCATGGCAACCCACCGCCACAGGGGCTGCAGCCTATGGTTGCCGGCGACTCACAGCAGCCCAGCTCCAGGTTGAGCTGCTGTTCAGCATCTTAGCTGTGGAGGGCAGTGTCACTGACCCTTATATGTGACCCTCATATCCGAACCGGGGCCCTCTGGCGTCCTAAGCCAGTTCTTAACCATTGCGCCACTTGGCCGGCCCAGTTTTAAAAATTTTTAAAAGAAAGCAGAGTGTATGAAAAAGCAAAATAGACAGCATTGTGTTCAATACAAAATAGACAGCACTGTGTTCTAGGATAGGAACTTGAACATCACTAGGCAGAAGACCACCATGGTCCTTCCCCAGTTACATTTCCTACAGTCCATCCTGAGGTAATCTGCACCCTCACGTTGGTGTTAGGATTTCCTTTCTTTTTTTTTAAGATTTTTTATTGGAGAATTGGGGAAGGGGAGCAGTGTTGGGGAATTGGAGGAGGGGAACAGCCACATTGTTGTCCTTCACTCTTAGTTGTGGAGGGTTCAGCTAGCTCAGCTCCAAGTCTAGTCGCCATCGGCTGCCCGTCGGCAGTTCGTGGCTGCTCAGCTCAAGGTGCCGTGTTCAATCTTAGTTGCAGGTGGGCATAACCCACCATCCCATGCGGGAGTGGAACCAGAAACCTTGTTGGAAGCACATGCTCTCACCAGCTGAGCCATCTGGCCACCTGGTGGCAACTCAGCGGCAGCTCAGCTCAGGCGCAGCTTGCGCTCTTAACCAACTGAACCACTTGGCTGGCCCGGTGTTAGGATTTTCTTGCTGCTCTTTTTAGTTTTACTTTATGTAAAATGGAGCAGAAAGAACAAACCAGCTGTCTAAGGAAAGATCGGCTCTACCATGATTATTATTATCATTATTATTATTATTTAAAGATTTTATTGGGAAATTGGGGGAGGGGAACAGCGCTGGGGAATCGGGGGAAGGGGAACAGACAAGTTACTGTCCTTTTCTTCAGTCTAGTTGTGGAGGACGTTGCTTCACTGGCCGATGTTGGTATTATCATTGCGCTCTTCCTGGGTGAGGCAGATTGGTCACCGGCCTCTGAATGGCCACTCACAGTAGCTTATGGCAGCCCACTGCAGCCTGTGTCATTACCGGCAACTCTCGGCAGCCCAGCTCCAGGTTGAGCTGTTGTTCACCATCTTAGCTGTAGAAGACGCAGTGTCACTGGCCCTCATGTGGGATCCGAACCAGGGTCCTGCTGCTCAGAGCTGGCGTTCCAAGCCAACTCTTAACCAACGTGCCATTCGGCTGGCCCAGCTCTGCCATTATTGGTTGCAGTCCCCCAGGAGAAGATAAGCCCAGCACACTCATAGTCATAGTCTGGCTTCTGCTTCCCTGAGAGTTTTCAAGAGACCCTTCCAGGCAGGTCAGTGGGAAGATCGGGAGGCAGTCTGGGAAAGTAGAGGGTTTTACCTCAGTCAGGGTGTTTGGCAGTGTTGTAGTGTGGACTTGGTTTTGGACATCCTGTGGAAATTTGATCAGAGACAGTGGGCTACTTTGTATTTTCAGCTTCTGATGTTTTCAGAGTTGTCTTCTAACTCAGAATTAGGTCAATCAGAAAATCTGTGGTGGGATGAAATGAATGTCAGAGCAGGACATGGAGAAGAGAGAGAGCAGGAACATTACCTGTCCAAGGTCAAGCCAAGCCAGGTAGAGATAAGTATCGTAGCCAGGCTCACCCTTGGTTTATAAAGATGGTACTGAGTAAGCAGACATTTTCAGAATTTTGTGCAGTTGTCTTTTTGCAGCTGCTATTGAGAAATTTGAATCCATTCATTGATTCTTTGTATATGACTGGTTTTGACTTATCTGGAAATTTATAGAATCTTCTCTTTGCCTCCAGTGTTCTACAGTTTTAGAGTGATAATGTGTGGGTCTGTTTTAATTCACTGGGTATTTGGTGGGCACCTTCAGTCTGGTAGTTGAATCCTTTGGTTCTGAAGCCTTTTCTTGAGGACTTTTTCCTCTCCTTTTTCCTGTTATATTTATCTTGAACTATTATTTTATTGAATGTTGGACTTCCTATTTTGGTCTTCTGATTTTCTTATCTTTTCTCTTCAGCTTTCCTCTTTGTAGTTTTTCCTCTTTGGTTGGGCGTGTGTGTGTGTGTGTATGTGTGTGTGTCTTTTTCTAGATGTCCTTATCTTGATCTTCCAGCCTTACTATTTAGTTTTTCTTTTCCGCTATCATATTTTAAAATTTTTCTTAGAGCTCTGTTGTTTCTAGAATCTTCCTCATTTTTAAAAAAAAAAATAAAACCTTGGTTTTGTTTTATTGGATATAAAATTTTCTCTTTTCTTAGGATATTACTAATGTTTTTTTTGTGTGTTTTCCTTCTGTGCATAGTCTCTGTTTCTTCTGAATTGCTCTTCCTGATGTTTGTTTTGGTCTGTCTCTCTCATCTTCAGATGTCTATTAATCCTTAATTTTCTGCTCCTGATTAACATTGTGGGATTATGCAGTGATTGGAAGCTCTGAGCAAGTGGGTAGGCCTTATCAATTTTGAGCTTAACTGTTGGTTGGGTTTTCCTAATCTGTTGGGAATCCCTGATGTCACTATCTTTAGTCCTTCCTCTTGAACTGGTCAAATGGCCCAGGGAGGCCTTTTCTGGTGTCCTACTTGGAGCATGAGGGTCTGGCTGGCTGAGTGGTGGAAGTGGGCTGCACTTAACATTCATACAGTATTTACTCTATGTATAGCCACTCAGTGCCTTGCTTTTCTGTACAGTACCTTTGTTCACACCTGCGCCTTTAGTACCCTGACCCTGGTCCAGTTTTATTTCCGAGACTAAACCTTTAATGGCCTGAAGAGGATGGGTGGTCTGGGCATCTACTCCTTAAACAGCTTTCAAGCAGTTCCGTGCTGTACGTCCTGCTCTCCTTTTCAGCGCCTTTTGAGGACTGTGATAGTCAGCTCTCAGCTTCACGCTTTTGGTTTTGGATTGGGCTTTCTTGGCTCTGCTACGGCAGTTAGTTATTATTTGTCCACCTGCTTTTCTGCTTTCAAAAATTTTCTTGTTGTCTTGTTTTCTCTTTGTGGGTTTATATCTTTAAAATTATGAGGTGTGATAAAAAACTATGGTGAATGCTGCTGCTGAGTGGAAAGGCAGGATTCTTCAATATGGGATGCGGTGTGTCGAACCTTAGTAACAGTGTTTGACAAGTTTCAGCTTGTTCGGTGCAATCAGTCGGATGTGAACTACAGTTGAGAGAAGGTGGTTTTCAAATGTGCCGTAAATCATTCTCCATCATGACAACACTCCATGTCACACATCACTTCTGGTCTGGCAATTTCTGTCAAATAAAAACATTACGGTGTGTCCTCATCCACCTTATTCACTGGATCAGGCACCGTGGAACTTTTGACTCTTCCCCAAAGTAAAAACGACCATGAAAGGTAAATGTTTTTAATTGATTCAGAACATCGAGACAGCCACAACAGCACAACTAAAGACGCTTACGAAAGAGGACTTCCAGAACTGCTTCAGAAAGTGGCAAGAATGATGGGATAAGTGTATTCAAAGTGAGGGGGAGTATTTTGAGGAGGATTAATGGCAATATGTCTTTTACTATAAATTTTTTTTAAAAATTGAAACATTCACTGTATTTTTTGATCACACCTTATATTTCTTTAGCAATTTTAAGAGGGTTTCAGGAGGGAGCAGAATGTGATGTGTGGATTCAGTCTATTACCTTAATCCAGGAACTGATTTGAGAATCAGCATATAAAGTTTTATATACTGTTGGTTTGGATCAGTTATTTAAAAAAATTTTGTGTAATTTCTTTCCTTGCCCCTCACCTTGCAAATATCTGGTCATGTTGTTTATTGTGCTTTTTAAAATTTTTTTTACATCTTGCTATGGAGGTGGTAGCATGAAAACTTTCGTTAGCAAAGTCATTGCAAATGGTGAGGTAACTGTAACCACATTTTGGTTTGAAGTTGAAGAATGTATTTCATTTTAAGTGAAAAGTCTTTGACACTGCCTATTCGGGAACCTGGTGCTTGTAATCGCTGTAGACAGTCAGCAGTTAACAGACCATGTACCCTGAGTCTCAAATCCCCTCCCAAATGGGCTCAGAGTCATCAGGATTGCTGTGAATAAATTAGGAAGTAAATGAAAGTTATTCCATGCTGCTCTTCTCCCATTCCTATGCTTCCCTTCCCTATCCTGCCTTTCCTTTTGGATGTTCATTTGCACTGACTCTCACTTCCTGTGCTGCCCTTTCTGGCTGGAGAGAGGCCAAAGGTGCTTTGTCCACATATAGTCAGGCCTTGCCATCTGTAAAGCTTATTACACAATAATCAAAGGTGAAGGCCTTGGTTTTAGGATTTTAGATCAAGGTGGAACTAGTTGGTGATGGGTTAGTAAAACTAGCCAACAGCAACATTTATTGGGCACTTAATATGTCCCTCACAAGTGTTAAAAACATTTTATTTATTTAGTTTTTTTTTAACTTAAATTTATTGGAGTGACATTGCTTAATAAAATTATGTAGGCTTCAAATGTACAATTCTATAATCCATCATCTGTGTATTGC